TTATGTGCCACATATATAAGCAAATATGACACATAAATGTCATGACATATAGTATTTACTCTAACACATAGAAAGGAGTGTTACTCTTCTGGGATAACAGTAGCTGAAACAGTGTCCAGGAAAGTTGTGTAGAGATACTTGAGTAAGGTCTTGAAGGATGAACCTATTATGTAGTTAATAAGAAAGGGCAACCAACTTGGAGGAAAAAACGTGGAGACATAAGACAGCATAGTATAGTTGAACACTCGCAAATCGTATCTTGGAGTGTAGGATGCAGGAGTTCTGTGAGAGCAGGATACATTTTTTTGTAGTCTTTGTATATCTGAATGCTGGTAGAGTACTTGTCATATGTTAACATCCTAATAATTTATGGAATATGGTTGAGTGGGAGGAAGATGAGTGGCTGGTATTGGAAGAAATGCTCTGTGCACTCTATAAGCAACTCCACAAGTCATGCTTATGAGTTGGACTATATTGTATGAGTGATAGGATGGAAGTATCTCAAGGATTTTAAATAAGTCTAATGTGCAGTTTGAAAAGATTCCAGAATTAATGTAAGGGTTAGATTGGGAAATGGAATAGATTTGAGGCAAGTTACGAGGCTATTGCTTTAGTATTGTTGAGAGACAAGAAGATCTGAACAAAGGAGTGAATGTAGAGGTACAGATTTATTGACTTACTGACATTTAATAGTTTGTGGTAACATCCCTAAAAACTTTATCCTCCAAAGATGGAGATGAATTGTTAGATGGCTAAATTCTTCTTATCAAACTTAAGCTTGTTTGCAAGCTAGCTTACTTTCAAAGTGATTCACTCAATAGGAAATCCTGTACAGACTCATACTGTGTCTGAATTATAGTAAACATCAAATGAGGTAACAAAAGTTTTTGAGGAACATTGAGGAAATCACCTCCTTACCCATTTTACCTTTCCTTGGCTCTTTTATTTTCTCAGTGGTCTTGAGATGAAAAATTGATGAATTAGACATAATTTTGTTGGAGGATAAAAAACCTGACTGAGTATTTAAGTCCTTTGGAAAGTGAAGAAAGAGGAAAAAGCAGCCAAGCAGTTTGTCTTAGGAAACAGAAGAGTTTGAGGCAGACCCTGGTTTAACCAAAGACTTCATGGGGGAATAATTGCACAGATTCTCTTTAAAAAGGGTAGGAACTGTGGTTATTTAATTTGTTTTACATTACACATACATGTAATACATGTAATCTCCACATAATGGACAGGAGCAATACATTTTCAAGGTAGAAATTTTGGAAAATTAATTGAATGGAAGATAATGGGAATTGAGGAAAATTATATTGATTACTAAATTGAAGTTTTTGTAGAAATGTGATTGAGCTGTCTGAAATTCATGTCAGTTTACACTTCCAATAAAATAAAAATGACATATACTTCAGAGTTTAATTTGAAAGTTACTGAAAAATACTTTCCTAGCAGAACAGTGCAACTAATGATACAGCAATAATTCATAGAAACATAAAAATAGTAACGTTTTCCTGCTTACATGAATGCAGGGCTTTACTGTTTATTTTAATTGTTATTTAAAGTGTAGAGTGAAAGAACATGTTGGAGAATAAAAATATGTTACATTCTATTGGTGCTTTACCACAGTTATTTTAGGTTTCTTCGTTTAAGCACCATAGTATGGCCTTTCAACAATGTAAGTAGAGATTATTCTTGAAGGATTTCTGTAGAGATTATCTTGATTTTTTTTTTTTAACTCAAGTGCTATCTGTTAAAACATTTCTATTTCTTTATCTGCAAGGAATTCACTATTCAAAATGAAACCTGGTTTGTTGAGTCAACTTTTGTTCTGGAGGACTGTTTATATATTTTTGCCTATTATTTGCACAGAATGTTTGTTGAAAACTTGATTAGGTTAGTTTCAATAATGTATGATAAAATGTAGGCATTCAGGAAAACTGCTTAAATATCATAGATAAATCTTTTATATATGTGATTATGAATAAGGGTAGCTATATTCTGCTTTTAAATTTTCTTTATTACTCCCTTTAGAGGTTTTTTTGGGCATAATTGGCATTTAAGGAGCTCTGGTGGTACAGTGGTTAAAGCACTTGGCTGCTAACCAGAAGTTTGATGGGTTGAACCCATCAGCTGCTCTGTGGGAGAAAGATGAGGCAGTCTGTTTTCGTAAAAGATTTGCAGCTTTGGAAACCCTTTGGGGGCAATTCTACTCTGTACTGTAGGGTTGCTATGAGTTGGAATTGACTCGTAGGCAGTGGGTTTGTTTTTTGGTTTAATTATTGTTTAATAAAAGTACATATATAGATAGTGGTAAGTTTTGAAATGTGTACACGCCCATGACATAAACCCAAATGTGTCCTAGTGCCCTTTTGTAATGTCTCTTTCTTGCTTTTACCTGCTCAGTCTCCTCTCTCAAGACAATCATCCCTGTTTTCTTTTACTTCAGACTAGTTTATATTTTCTTGAGGTTTCTATAAATGAGATCATATATTATATATTATTGTATTTTTATTTAGCTTCTTCTACTCAGATTATTTTGGGAATTTTCTATCTTGTTGCATGTATCAAGAGTTCATTCATTTTCATTGATGAATATACCATAATTTGTTTATCGTTTGTTGATGGGCATTTGGACTATTTCTAGTTTTTAGCTATTACAAAAAAAAATTATTTTCAGAACATTCATACGTGAATCTTTGTATTGATGTTTGCTTTCTTTTCTCTTGGGTAAATAGCTAGGACAGAAATGGATAGATGGGATGGTAGGTATATGGTTACGTTGCGAAAAACTGCCAGGCTGTTTCTCTAAGTGATTATTCTATTTTATATTCTCATCCACAGCATATGAGAGTTCCAGTTACTCCATGTCCTTGCCAGAACTTGTGATTGTCCTTCTTTTTAATTTCAGCTATTTTAATGGATGTGTAGTGGTATTTCATTATGGTTTTTTGCTGATGATCTTTTCATATACTTATTTGCCATTTATGTGTCTTTGGAAAATGACCTTTATTGGTCATTTTTATCTTCTCTCTCTTTTATTCTGATCAATCAGGCTAGAAGTTTATTGATTTTTATTGGTTGTCTCTAAGAACTAGCTTTTGGTTTTACTGAATTTCATTATTGTCATTTTACTTTCTTTTTCCTATTTCATTGATTTCTACTCTGACTTTTATTATTTCTTGTATTTTGCTTATTTTGGGTTTAATTTGTTCTTTTTCTAGTTTATAGTTTCTTAAACTATAAGCTGAGATCATTGATTTATAATCTTCTTTTCTCATAGGTATTTCATGCTATTGATTTCTCTCTAAGTAATGATTTAACAGCACTCCACAAATTCTGATATGTTGAGTTGTATTTTTTATTTATTTCAAAATACTTCCTAATTTTTATTTCTTTCTGGATCCAGGGGTTATTTATAGGTATTCATTCTATTTAGTTTTAAAATCTTTGAGGATTTTCCAGAGATCTCTGTTATTGATTTCTAATTTAATTTTATTATGGTGAAAGAATGTACTTTTATGACTTAAATCCTTTTACATTTAAGAACTTGTCTTATGACCCTGAGTAAGGTCTATCTTGGTATATGTTTTGTATGTACTTGGAAATAATGTATATTCTACTGTGGTTGGGTTCAGTGTTCTATGAATGTCATTTAAATATTATTGATTGCAGTAGCTTCACTCGAGTTGGTGTCTCCTAGTGCGGTAACTCTGGTGTCACTACTCTCCTACCTACCCCTCCACCAGTGTGCAGAGCAACCTGGCCTTATCCCCTGCCCCCCCATGGGTGGAGTGGCTTATGGCCCCACCCCTTCTGGTCCCATCCCCTGCAGTCCCATGCAACTCTTGCCCTCTCCTATTAGCCAAGGTGGAGACCCTCCTGTCTATCCTATGGGAGGTGCTGTGACCCACCTGCCAGCACCTTGACTGGTGGGTGGGTAGGGTGTTTGACAAGTTACCAAACTGGGTGACATGTGACACCAGCCCTGGTGAAACTACTGTCTTGGCAGCCCCTCCTGTGGTACTGTCCTACCAGCTGCCACTGCCACTGCTGTGTACCCTGAGGTCATTTTGGTGTTACCCTCTCTGATAGTGTCAGGGAGTGTGGTCTCCCCTTCCCACACATCCCCAGTGATGCCAGTGATGCCAGTGATTGATAGTGTTGTTCAAGTCTTCTATATCCTTGCTGATTTGCTGTTTAGTTATTCTATCAAGTATTGACAGAGGGGTGTTGAAATCTCCAGCTGTAGTTGTGTATTTTTTATTTCTCTTTACTGTTCTGTCAGTCTTTGCTTCATATATTTTGTATTAGATACAAAAGTGTTTAGAATTCTTAAGTCTTCTTGATGGATTGACCCTTTTTTCATGTGGATGACCTTTTCTGTCTCTGGTCAAAGCAGCCTTGAGTCTCTTTTAAGGCAATAAATTAGCGGAAATTTGTACGGACCAGGACATTTCTCTTTTCTTCTGTGAGGCTTCTGTAGTGGAGGTATAGTACAGGCTCTCAGTCTTAAATTAAATGTGTTGTCTGACTTAATTATGGACTGCAATAAGATCTTTGCTTTGATTCTTTGAATGCAGTTAAATATGTCATTTCCTAATTCAGTTTTCTAGTTTATTGATAATTTATCTCATTGAATGAGAAGAATTTCCTCAGATGTCTAGAATTATGGTCTGATTCTAGTTTTTTTTTCCATTTCAGAATGAGTACAGGACTATTAAATAGTAAAAAAGAGTTAACTTATTAATTGATTTATTGCATGTTCTTGGGGCTTTGATCAGGCAGCTTGTTACTTAAAACAGGCCATAATGACATGGTGACAAAGAAACTTAGACTATTGATTTATAGTGGAACATTGATTTAATTTTTACATATTAGAATCATCTCCTAGTGGTGCGGAATGCTTTGTTCAGGTTAATGAAAATAACATTTGAGTCTTGATGTCGTTATGTACATTGCACCTATATTTCATATACTCTTAATCTGTCCTGTTGAAACAGAAGTAGTCCAGAGGATGAATCCATCCACATCCTGAGTGTTGATGAGAAGAACAAGTTGGGAGCCAAGATTATCAAGGCAGAGATAATGGGAAATATGGTAAAACTCTTTTGTATGTTCCTCTTTTGGAGAATAGTGGTTAATATATAATATTTTAAGAGTAATTTTCAAGCTTCTCAGCAGTGTGGTTGTAGCACACTTTGAAGTTTCCTTAAATTCTAAAATACTACTCTGTTTACACCGAGGTAAATTACCTAATTTTGCCAGGTTCCTGAAGTTTAAGATCTTTGGGAACTACCTGCTTTTTTGTTTCTTGTTTTGCTTTGCTAGTCACTTATTCTTACACTTCTAACTTTCTGAGCATATTTGAAGGAGATAAACGTTCCACTGTCTTCTTTCCCTTTTTAGTCATATGTTACTAAGCGTACTTACTACTTTAAAATGAAGAAAGTCCCTTATTTAGGAACCCAAGAAAGAGTTCCCCAAAAGGATGGTTAATTCGTTGATAAAAGTTTTAAACCAACATTTTGTGCCTGAAATTGTGTTAGATGCTTATTATATAGGTTAACTCATTTCACCCTGTAACGGGTGTTGTGATTTAAGACTTGTTTTACTTTAGGATTGAATAGAAATAGACATGATTTGGTAAGAGCTGCTGCATTTATTTATTTGCCTAATAAATAAGTAAGTTTAAGTAAGTATATTGAGGGCCTGTCACATGCCTACTGTGGAGTGGACACTCAGCAATACATGTTAAAATACACATGGCAGAATAGCAAAGGCAGATATCTTTGTTTCTTGACAAAATAGATTCACTCATGGTCATATGTTTGTACTCACCTCAAACCCAAATATAAGTGACTTACATAATCTTCTGTTCTGATAGAGTATAAAAACATATATTCTTTAGTAGAAAAGATGGCCAAATAAGGTATTTACTAGTTTATATGTTTAATAATAGCCATATCTTGTATATCCTTTTCTTTTTAAATCTTGCTCTTGGTAACACTAATGTTCACTTCAATCTAGTAAATGCTAAAACAGAAACCTACAACAACAATAACCGCGGCAAGAAAATAAAAATTTTAGGTTTTGAAAGCAGTGAGGAATTAGCTAAAATAGGGAAAAGAGAGGTCACTTACGTAGGGGGTTATCTTATATTAAAATAATTTCTCTTGTGTTCATGGAATCACTGCAGTTGCTTTTCTTTGCTTGTGATAAAAATCTATTTACTTAATTTTTTACTTTGTGGTCTGTTGCTTTATCTGTCAATTATTATTTTATATAAATTCCTACAGGCTTCCTGCAATAAAAATAAATATATTCAAAATTTTTATTTGAATTACTTCTTGACAATGAAGAAATCCATATTTTAAGTCTTGTGATATTTGTCTCATTAAAATTATCCAAGTTTTAAGTATTGAGTGTGTTTAATATCTAAGGAGTTATAAACCTACCATCCTTAAGATTGTATATTTTCTCCATCTCCCTGTGTCCCCTTGCATGTATGTTCTTGTAAATATTTACATTTCAAAACATAAGCAAATGCCAGAGTTATTTAAGAAGTTTTTAACTAAGATGAATTGATTAAAAAGTAGTATACTAGGTTGTGAGCTGATAAGTAATGGCTACATGGGTGTTCATAAAACTTTAACATAAATTTGAAATATTTTATAGTGAAGAATTATATATATACAAGTATATAGATACACTTATTTTTGTTTTTGAAGGAGTTAGCTGAACAACTTAAAGCCCAGCTTGAAAAGGCAAATAAATTCAAGGAAATCACAACACAGATATCATCAAAAAAATCTGGAATAGAGGTAAGTTTAAATAAAAGTTTTTTTGCAGGCATAGAATTACCTTGTATAATACTATTACTTTATAGTAGAATGTTTTAATGTGACGTGTGTCTGTGTGTGTGTGTATGTTCTTTTGTTTGCTTGTTTGTAAAATTTATTTTCGTATATATTCTCTTACGTTCCACAATTGTGGCATGATGGAAAAAGAATCTAGGCCTGCTATCAAGAAGACCTGGGTTTAGTCTGACTTCTGCCCCTGGTTGACTGTTTGACATTGTACAAGTCAGTTAACCTCTGTGTTCCTTAAATTCTTCTGTAGAATGAGAGCCTTGAATTAGCTACCTGTTTCACATAAAACAAATGATTTTATTCTGTAATCCATCCAACCATCCATTAGCGGACAGAACAGATAAAAATGCGTACCTGAGTGGAGCTTTCATTAGGGTAGGGGGAGCGAGAGGGAAACAATAAATAAACAAACAGAAAAACATAAATAATCCAGTAAATTGTTATCGTTAAGTGCTCTGGAGTCAATTTTCGATTCATAGTGACTGATGGAACAGAGTGCCCCCATAGAGTTTTCTAGGTTGTAATCTTTGTGGGAGCAGACCACCAAGTCTTCCTTCTGTGGAGCTGATGGGTGGGTTCAAACCATCAACCTTTCAGTTAACAACTGAGTGCTTAACCAAGACTCCTTAGAGCACATTACCAAAAAAACTAAACTCCTTGCCATTGGGTTAATTCTAACTCATAGCAACCCTATAGGACAGAATAGAACTGCCCTCACAGGATTTTTAAGGCTATGGGCCTTCATGCAAGCAGACCACCATATCTCTCTTTCATGGACTGGCTGTTGGGCTTGAACTGCCGACCTTTGGTTAGTAGCCCAGTACTTAATCACTGTACCACCAGGGCTTCCTTTATAACATATTAGGAGGTTATGAATCCTATGGCAAAATAAGAGAGTAATGGGGATCTTGATTCCAGGTTGGTTGGTTGCTTTACATTTTAAATGGGGTACACAAGGCTTCACTGAGAAAGGACATTGATGCAAAAACTTTAGGGGAGTGAATCTCTGTGTATCTGAAAGGAAAACACTCCAGGCATAGTGAACAATGAATTTAAAGGAAACATTTCTGATCTGTAGGAGGAACAGCGAAGAGACCAGTGTTGCTGGAGTGAAGTGAGTGAGTGAGAGAGAGAGAGAGAGGGGTGAAGATTTAAGTTAGAGAGTCTGTGGGAGGCCAGATCATGTTAAGCTTTGGAGGTCATAGTAAAAAATTAGTCTTTTGCGCTGAGTGAGATGAGAAGATATTAAAGTGTTTTGAGCAAAGAATATACACAGAACCATCCTGGCTATGTGTAGTAATTAGGTTTTTGCAGACATAAGATGATGGTAGCTTCAACCAAGTTAGTACAGCTTCTATTTAAATATTTACTATATATATTTTGAAAGGAGAGCTGACAGATTTTTATGATGATTTAGGACCCCAATTTTTAAGTCTGAACAGTTGAAAGAATAGTGTGTCTGTTATCTGAGATACGAAAGATGAAGAGCAGGTTTGGGGTGAAAATTAGAAGTCTGTTTTGAATGTTTGAGTTTTGATGCCTTTTGGATGTGGACATACATAACAAATAGTTGGATATAGTTTGAGGTTAGGAAAAGTTTGGGCGGAGATACAAATTTAGGAGTTATTTTTAGCATAGAGATGATATACCAATGAAGTAAATGTAGATAGAAGGTGAAGGCCTGAATCTGATTTATTACAGTGGTACAGTTAGATAAATTTAACTCATTGACTTCATACAACAGCCATTGAGATAGTTCATGCCATTATTACAGTTTTACAGATTCTGAAACTGAGGCACAGAGAAGTGGCAGAGCAAGGATTTAAACTCATAAAAGTCCTTTGTTTACCTGACACCTTTTTCTTGTCTCTGAATGACAAAGGTAATAATAGCTTTAGAGAATGTTTAGGTCGTAAAAGTCTGTAACTAATTTTGGAGCCCTGGTGGCGCAGTGGTTAAGTGCTCAGTCACTAAGTGAGGGGTTGGTGGTTTGAACCCACCAGTTGCTCCACAGGAGAAGGTTGTGGCAGTCTACATCCATAAAGATTACAGCCTTGGAAACTCTCTGGGGCATTTCTACTCTATCCTATAGGGGTCACTATGAGTCAGAATTAGGAGGAGCTCTGGTAGCATAGTGGCTAAGGCATTTGACTGCTAACCAGAAGGCTGGTGGTTCAAACCCACCAGCC